GGCCCTCGCTAGCCGTTGCTAATTACACAAGTTCCTCCTTCCTTCTTTTCCTCAGAAGAACTGTCTTTAATCGTCGCACAATTCTAACTCGTCACCCTTCTATACACTGTCTAAAAAACCACTCTCAATTTTCAATCATCCCTAATTTCATCCTGACTCGTTATATAGCGTGATTTATGGAGGGTGATATTACTACTCAATTAAAACAAGAAACAAATAAATAAATAATTCGAATAGTATTATATTTGGAAAATTTTATATTTTTTTGCGAATGCAACGGCGAGTAGATGAATCAATTTTATAATATTAAAGATTTAGAATGTTATAATATTTAATAATTAAAACCTATATTTTTTTCTCAATTACTTTTAATCCTAAATCGCCATTTTTCCTGGGGAAGCCTAATTTAATTGCAAGTGTCCTTAAAAATTTAAGAGAGTACATACGCGATTACCAAACAATATTAAATTACCCCTCGCATACTATTAGAATACTCAACGAAAAAAGGTATTTGAATATAATTTTTGAAAAGATAATAACAAAGCTTTTGCGTCTTTGAAGCATAAGAGAGGGTGGTTACACGGTATAGGTTTACATCGTGCAAAACTCTCACCATGTACCAGCTACGAGGTAACGAATCCTTATGGGAAAAAGGGAAAAAAACCTGTTCGGGCCGTTCTCTTTTATAAAGCGATTGATGTCTTGATTTTTCACCACGAAATTTCTACGGTATCCTGCAAGGTTGTCAGAGATCGAAGGAAACGAAAGTGATCCAAGAAATAATAACGAAAAATCTTTCTCCGCGTTTGCTATGATTTAACTGTAAGTCTCTCTCCGTGGTCCGTCGCGCGAGGGTTCAGACAAAGAGTGTTCAGACAAGGAAAAAGATGAATTTTTCGTGGAAGAAAGTCGGTTAACCACGGGTGGTTCGGTGTGTCGCAGCCCGATGTAAGCATCGTAAAAGAGAAAGAAAAGGGTTGCGTTCGGTCTTTGTTTTAGCATCGAATACTGTAATATATTCGCATTGTTCTCTGCAGCCGGTTTTTGCCCGAAGGCTAGCGGCGGCTTGCCCTGCAAAGGGGCAAAGATTCGTTGCGTCCCCGATGCAAAAGGAAAAGATATTACATATTTCTTATTTCCTTTTCTCTCCCTCCGCGTGATGCATCGACCGTTTGATTCACTTTATTAGGGGAATGGTAAGCGACGACCCGTGTGTATTCGCATGAAAATGTTAACACGCGCCTAACCCTCGACGGAGCGTGAATCATATTTATATCCTGGATTCCCGCCACCATCGAGATCAAAATCGCTTTTGAAAGGCCGCGGTAGCGCGAATTTCTTGTCAATTATGTATGCAAAACCGATTAGACTACCATGGATCAGTACAACGTCATAATCGAAATTTTACGACCTATTAACCGAGCAACAATGTATCGGGGCACATGACCCGCCCCATGATATTTAAAAAATAATATTACTTTCTTATATATTATGAAATTTTTATATTTTAGAAATATTTGAGATTATAAATAATTTTATAAAACAGAAGGAAGGTTAATTAAACGAAAAAGAAAGATATTCTTCAGTCAAATTCTAAATTAATACTGCAATTGAACATTAAAATTTAATTTTCTATGGTTATTCTTTTCAATTTTTTAAATTTAATATATTTAAATAAAGGCATTGCACTGCCATTGCATTTGCAAGTACGTCCTGAGATTTTTTACGAGACATTACGTAATACCAAGTGTTCAAGTAGCAAGGGTTGTACGTACACAAAAGATTATATGTATTAATAATAATTAAACAAGTGAAAGGAAAATTTCAACGTATTTCAGAAAGCTTAATGTAAGTGAAAGTAATTTTTAAAATGATAAAAGAATGCAACCGTTGATGCAACGCTACGAAATGCAGTCGCAATGCATTTGGTACGATTGCAACAAATTAATTTGCGTAGAGTTGTCGGCAGATTAAAGCAACGCCAATTCCTTTGATAAAGGGACTCTGTTATCACGATGCACGCAACAAAGGCCTTAGCGGAGTGCATTACAGTTGCAAGCCTTCACAGACCTTTTGTTACGCACGCCACGATACAAACTCACCACATACACTCTCTCTAATCTACCGCTATCGCAACTTAATACCTAGGAGAAATTCACACCGAACGCGAGCTTAAGGTGCGAATAGCAGGTACTTGGTATTACTTGGATTACGAGCACTTCTTCGTTTCGTATCGCTTCGTTGCAACGCAACAGTAACCCATTAACAGCCAATGTTACGTTTATGCAACGTTTCATTTGCATTCTTCTCGTGACAATTTACCACATTTATAGCAATATGATAAACAACCTTTTTATACTGTATGGACTATAATAAATAAAATTATCTGTAATTTTGCAAAAAAATAAAAAATCTTATATATAAAAGTGGCATTACTTTACTGCTTGGGCCTCAACGAGCTAATCTCAAAAGGTGAGGCAATAATTTGACACACATATTATTAAATATTTAATTAACGCTTGAACAGCGGAGCCTGGGTCAATCCGACCCAAATATTAGCCCAAAGTTAAATGTATAATTTTTATACGAAAGAGTTTCATATATTGGAAGAATCATTTTTAAAGAAACAATGTGAAATTTAAAAAATAAAAATAATATGAAATACGAAATTAAATTAAAACCGGGACTCTCTTCATGGTCCGCCGTCCGAGAGTTATAATAATTGAATACTTCTAACGCTGATAAATAAGAAAAATTGAAATATTTATTATGAGAATAAAAAATAACTCTTTCGTACAAATATAGCAATGCTACTGGTTCAATCCTTGGTGACAGATCTAGGTGTACAAAGAATTGGCAAAAAATTCCACAGACTAACAGAAGGTAACAGATAAGATACACAGTCGGTTCATACAACTGTAATAGTCATAAAGTGTACGATAAGTATGAATGAAAAAGAGGGTGCGATGTCCGAAATATCTAAACGGAACATGTAATTTAACCGGAGATAATATTTCTGAAACCGCCTTTAACGAGTTTTATCGTTCAAATTTTAATTGCGACTAAAATTACAATTTAACCGTGTTAAAAACGTAATTCAAATTTGGTCACGCTTGAACTGCAAATTACTCAAGAGCGTGACTAGTAATTTTATAAATTTAGTATCTGACGCTAATCATTTCCATCAAATCCAATAATAAAAAATTGTATCCGCGAAAGAAAAATTACAGGAAGAAATCATTGAGTTAACAAGAATAAAATCCTAATCTTATCAGTGAACGTACGCATAATACACTGCTTGTGTTCTTTATTGTATAAAGGGAGTGATACGTATCTTGCTTTCACGAAACGCGTTGAACTTGAAGATAAACGATTACTCTTGACTAGTGATGCGATTGGGAGAAAGAAAGTTTCAATATTGACAAATATTGGAAAATGTACCTATAATTCATCTGGATCTATTTATAAGAATTGTAATTGTAATTAGATTGATAAATAAAAGGGTATTAACGGTGCCTAACAATAAGTACCGCGCGTCGCCGACTCTCCGGACGAAATCTTATTACTATAAGGAAACAGTGCGAAAATTGAATTAGAAAGAAAAATTTTCAAATTCCAATTTTTTATTAGTTTGGTAAAATAAAAATCCAGAGTTTTAAGCGCCAATACTCATTTGAAATGTATAATAAAATATGAATAATAACAGCAAAACGTTTTTTCGTATTATCAATAATTACAGAAATTAATAGAGTGCATATATTTTAATACCGAATATACTGAATGATTTTCCTACAAATTAGTCAAATTCGGCACGCTGCAATTAGAAGAAGAACATAGAATTCGTTACAACGAAAGTTCATTAGATGTCTCTAAGGCGATTTTTCACCGCTAATATTCGCCGTGGTCAATGAGCAGCGGCGTTTCAAAGAAGGAATCACGATAAATCAACGTCAAACAGGCGATTTCACGAACGAAACAATTATGTTTCTTAATTCGAGTCTGCTTGTTCGTTTGTGTGCAAATTACGCCAATGGGACATACACAAGCAGCTGGTTGTTAAAAGAAATCGTAGGCTACCGGGTCATAGGCGATTACTACCGCGTAATTATTCTTCGAATTTCTACTCGTAAAAACTGAGTACCGACAGCACGGCTCAATAAAAAAAATTAAAAAAAAAAATAAATAAGCATCCTCTAATTATAGGTTTCGATACGCCTCATGATATTTCGTAGCGAATATTTTTGTTTCGCAGTCGCCTCGTTAATCGTCTAGCATGGCGTGCATCGTTATTATTCAATCAAGGCAAAACCACATTTAGGACAAAAATAATTTTGTTTCGTTATTTCACGAAATATAACCGCTACTTTCAATTCGCGGCAATTTTTATCGACTGTCGGTTCGTACGGGTTAATAAAAAGTTGGAGGCACAGGTCGCATTACCTACTCGTCTATAATTTCGCGGCATTGAAAACGTGCCATTGTTGATTTTCGTCCTAACGTTGAACTTGGAAATTTGAGATTTAAAATTTGAAAGTTGCAAACTCGAGTATCCAGCGATACTACACGATAACCAAAGAACACGACTCCAGAGGTGTACAACATACATTCCGCTCTTTGCCGAGATTGAATACAATCCCCTGGGAGAAACTTTATGTACCGTTTAAACGTGAAACTTGTTTATCTTCTATCACGTTTTTTCTCACGTTTTCATAACAGATAACAAGGTCAATGAAATAATCAGAAACTGTATTATAATTACACCCATAATCATTATTAAAGAAAAGTGTAATTATATGTTTATTTGATCTGAATATTTTGATATCCGATACAAATTATTCATGCAGTAATTGTAACTCATGTTTCATACAATATTTTTGTAATTAAAGAGTTATAGAATGTAATTTAAAGTCAATTTCTGATATAAAAATATTTAACATTTATGTTTGATCAATTTCAAATTGATGATAAATGAATTGGTGCAAATAATAGAGGCTACATACCTTGACAAAAGAGTGGAATTTCACTTTACTGGGAGAAACTGGTGGACTACTGGGTGGTCGTTGGTTCCCCTGTGCCTGAAGAAGATTCTGTACCTCCAATAAATATCCTTTCCTGGCGTATCTGCTTTTGGGACTTGTTTGGATGTTTCCTTCCATCTTTGATTTTTTGATTAACTTCAAGTTCTCTTTAACATTCTGCCTGAGTATTATGTGGGTCAGTCTTTTCGTATTAGCTCTAGAGTCATTAATACAAATCCTCCTCCACGTCTTGGACACCATACTGATTGAGCAAAGATCCTGCGGTCCGAGGTAAGATAATATCTTTGAAACTATCCTCCAGTGATTGCTTTTCTCTCCAAGAAGTGCCAATATATCAACTGTTTCTCTACCAGTATAGTCTGGTGTGGCCCTTGTACGGTATAATGCAACAGATATGGCACGATGACTGAAGTCCAACCTCTTTGGCTTAATTTCGGCAATGGCAGAAAGATCCTTAATAGAGAGCTTGCTTAATTTCTGATTGTCCGCCGAACTAATCGTGGGACTAGCTTTCCGACAGGTTGGCGAAATAATGATACGCGGAGTCGGTGGTGGTGTTTTTCGTCTAGGCGAAGTGGTTACCTGGGGTGTGCTTTGAGGCACGTTGACTAGCTTCATTTCCATATCTTTCTCAATGGGCTCGGAGGCTATGAACGGAGAAGGCACCGCCGGTGACGGGGGTGGCGAAAGAAGTTGCAATCTCGTCGAAGCTGGCGTGATGGGAACTGTCGTCTTGTAACTTCGACGGGTTCTACGCCGAAATCCATCCTCGAATTCATGGCACTCCGTACTACTTTGATTAGTTAATTCCGAACCCGATTGTTCGATACTTAAACTTGGTCGATCATCGCTGAAACTGGATGTCTCCTGAGAGAAACTTTCCCTTTCGGAACTCTCCGGCGCGGTATACTCGAATTCCGACGTATTTAAGAGGTAATTCAATTTTGATCGATGCCTCTGAGCCCGTTCTGACTGAAGCGGGTCTACGCGAACTCTGGGATGTCTTTTCGACGATATACATGATACTCGAGATCTGTATCCAGAAAGTATCGGCGTGTACGCACCGGAACGAGGAGTAAGAGTCAAATAACCACTATCAACACTGTCATGGGAACTATGCTTGCTATTTCGAAGTGACATTGCGTGTCAAACGTTCGGAACTACGCGACAAACAGAATCGTACGAACTAGAAACATTAAAACTTCGCAACGCACGCATCCGAAGCAACATTCGCGGGAAACACACGCACGCGGACATCAAATCACCCTCTGCCTGTCTTACGGTGTGACTACTTCGAAACTTTGAAATCTGTTTATTCGTTGTCCCACTACAGTTCCCTTGGCGATTGCCTAACCAATAGACTGCTACCTTTTATCCCGCCATCGTTACCAAGAGCTGCCATTGGTCGGAAACTTTCGGCATGCAGCGATACTACTGCCTCTGGTGACCGTTTCTAGATTTATTGAATTTTGTTGTTGGGGAGACCTTCCCAATGCCCGGTTTCTCTTTTATAGCGCGCTCGCAGAAACATATTGAAAATTCTAAGTTTATATGTCATCGTTAATTTTTGCCAGATTTTTCTTAAACGAATAACTGTTTTAATAATATTCAAAACAAAATATTTGTCGTCATATTTCGCTTAACTCGTTGACAATATTTACTGATTCGACACATTTATATTTAATAATTGTAGAATCATCACAATATTTTAATAAAACTAAAATATATGTTAGAATGCATAAAATATTATATATTTTGTAGAAAAGCTTTGTTATTGCACCAAGCTTCGTTTAACTGTCGGTAAGATAGGACCCGATGCTGGGCAAGTAACAGAGAAAACCGTTATGCTCTGATTCAGGCCAAATTTTGCAGTTAAGTTCCATTTTGCAAAAGGAAATATCTGTAAAAATGGTTTTTGGCGACTCGAAAAAATGTGGTTACCATTTTGATGTCATTCTCTACCTAGCCGACAGAACGCAGTGTAAGTGGCGAATTGTTCCAAACATATAATAATAATAATAATAATAAACTAACCCAACCTACTCAAACTGTATTTCCATGTAGACAGTATGCAACCTAATCCAACATATTTTTACTGAAGAATCGACCGTTGGGAAGGGAGGAAATGACATCAAAATGGTAAAAAAATTTTTTCCGAATCGCCAAAAATAATTCTCACAGATGTTTCCTTTCGCAAAAAGGAGTTTATATGCAAAATTTGATCTAAATCAGAGCATGACAGCTTTACAAAGAGTCCTTTGTAATCTGTTTCGTATGTCGGTAAAATAGGAAACAACATTTCTTCAAAAATATCGTTTAATGTAGATAGAAGTCAATATGGCGTCGAAACAACCTTCTGAAGAGATAATCACGAGAACAATCATCGGATCAGCCGCATAGATATTTACGCAATTAGCGGTGGTGATAAGAATTTTGCGATATCGTTCGATTGTTTTTAGGTACGTAATATTACATTATTAACTGGACTCTCATGTTTTAAATCTTGTTCTTTTTTGCCGAAATCGAAATACATCCCATTATTCGTCTAAACTGAATATGCATTTATGCTAATTAATTAATTTTTGTTGTTTGAGAAAAAGAGATTATGTATGATTCTTTAGCATACATCTAGCAATAATCAAACGCAAAAGCAGTATGCTATTCTGAGATCAGAAGTCAATATCTCACGTAATATAACATGTTACGGATGTTCTGGTGCGGAGGATCTAATGACCGAAGTCCGAATTAATCGTAGAGGCTTCTGGCGCGAAATCTGAGAAACTCAGTATCATTGGGCGCTCCTATTATGTATATTTTTCTCTATTGAGCGGCGGACATCTTGAATAATTTTTTATTCTAACAATAGGTTAATGGGAATAACTGAACCGTTATTATGGTTATATGAATATTATGAATAGTTATTTAAATTTAAACAACTGATTAGATTTCATTTATATTAACATTTTCAGCCAATAAAATATAGCTGAGCATAATTTGTACAATTTACTGCCACTTTTCAAATCTTCATCGTACATTTTAGTATTTAACTATTTTCTTAAATAAATTTGAATTATGTACCTGTTGAATCATTCGAATGGAATTGGTTCAGTTGGTCCCAGGGCCGAATTAAGGTTCCTGGAGTCTGGGGCTATTAAACCTTTGAGGGTTGATAAACTTGAATTATAAATTAAAATTTATTTTAAAATTTAATTGTAAAGAAAAAAGGCAACAATAAACAAAATTTCATTCAAAATTTTTCGACATAAGAAATGAAAGGCTTTGTAAACCTAATCTAACCATAAATGCATAATCGCGCAATTATTGTATGACTAAGCCACTGCGCTAATAAGATATCACTGTACAGACGTATTGAACTGTAATCTGTTCAAGGTGCAGACCGAAAGAAGGAGAAATCAGCGAACAGGAAGGAAAAGGTCTATATAAGGAAGGACCGTGTCGACTCTCTATGTTCAAGGAGCATAGTTTGAACGAGGCATTTTATCGAGATGAATCAGTGGTGTGGAAAAATAGCTGCTGTGACTGGCGCCAGTTCCGGAATCGGCAAAGCCACCAGTATAGCTTTACTGAAGCACGGTGTGAACGTGGTTGGGCTGGCAAGAAGATTGGAAACTATGAAGAAGATACCGAACGAAGTGGAAGGTATAAAAGGTAAATTTTATCCGATTCAATGCGACCTTTCCAAGGAAGAGGATATCATAAAAGCGTTCAAATTCGTCGAGACGCTCGGGGGCGCTGATATTTTGGTGAACAACGCCGGCTTAGGATACGTGGAAAGCATCACAGGTAGCGTTCCTTAAAGGGTTACTGCGTCGGTACCGTAAAAATGACAAACAATGCAAAGGAACGTTTCTTTTATTTCATTTAGAATCTAAATTTTAGAGTCTTCCACGGAACACATGAAAAACGTGCTGGACTTAAATGTACTAGCCTCAGCAATTTGTGCACGGGAAATTACACAGTCATTGAGAAAACGCAAGGCAAGAGGACAAATCATTAACGTAAACAGGTAATTTGAAAATACGAGGTGAGACATCTAAAAAAGACCACCCGAATAAGCTAATCTAAGCTAAGAATAATAGTTTGTAACACTTTATCTGATTTAAATTTAAAATACATAGGAATTAAGATGATATAACGTGAAAGGCACTGAATTAATTCTCATTTTATCTTGTTCAATGATTTCTAATCGAAGGTTTCTCCTCGACAGTGTTCTTGGACACAATGCAGCGCTGATATCTAAACCGTGTAGCCTTTACGAAACGAGCAAATATGCGATAACTGGGATGTCGGAAACGTTAAGAAAAGACATGCAACAATCAAAAGCGCCGATTAAAGTAACGGTAAGATGGATCCTTTTTTCTTTAGGGAAGAGTAAAGACGCGGACTAGAATGTCGTAGCTTTTATTCGTGTGAATGCAATGATCACAAGTATTCGGTAGTCAAAAGTTGAAGTCGCGAGCCGCCCCTCTGAAAAGATCGGTGAACAGTGGATAAAACTGTAGAATGCCGGCGGAAAAATTATGGCGTTTCGTCTCGGAAACCGTCCACTAGAACTCGGCAGTGGGGCTGACATGGACGGTCCCTGCCTCAGATGCCTGAGTTTTATATTCACAGATTTTGTATATTTTTAAACATTTTTGTAATAGTTTAAATAATAAAGACAAAAAATCATTGACAAGTTTTTGTTGTTTCAGAGCTTATCACCTGGAATAGTGAAGACAGATCTTTCGCTTCTTCAGGATGCTGGCGGTGAAACATTTTTCGATGCAGTATCACACATATATAGTGAAGATATTGCCGATGGCATCATATATGTCCTTACTACACCACCGCATGTACAGGTAAGCCAAACTTGCATTAAACAATTTTGTTTCGCATTTCTTCTTATCATTCTCTAATTGTAGGGTTTTAGGGACCCTGTCATATACAGGGTGATAAAAAAAGGGATCAGAGTTTTACTATTTATCCCGAAAGTTCTGAATCCTTTACATTATAATAATGAACATTTAAATAGATGTTTTCGCTTTAGTTCTCTTTTATACCGAAAGAATAAAAACTTTGTTTCAACTGAAAATATTTATTTATTAATTTTCAGGTGAACGAATTGACAATTACAGCTTTGCACAGCGGAATTATTCCTACTGAAAAAATAAAACTATAACTTTTGTAATATTGATGTAGTAAAATTAATATGAAATTATTTACCACCTATATTAATAAAGCATGGTATTATATTAAAATTTATTATCTATGATGTATTTATCTCAATTCTGTTCCTTCGTTTATATAATTCCTACTTCTACACTACCAATCAAGTCAGGCTTCTCTGAGGAATATAGCATTATACGGAAAACGGGAATTTTCAAAATTTTAATTTTGACAATATTAATATTGGAAGTGATTTAGAAACAAAATGATATCATTTCTAATTCTTAAATATTGTACCAACGCAAGAGCTGCGAACTCATCTACCCGCTCTTTCACGCGCGGCGCACTGACGCCTTCGGGAAGCCATCGTTAGAGGGACTCCGCCGAGACCGCGTTTCTCGCTAATAATGCCGACAGTACACGCTCACTGACGCTCACCGAGACGACCCGAGACGAAGGGCGATCCTAGCACGAGTCAAAGGAGACAAGAGAGTGGGCGGCCTCGCGAGAATGGACTGCCAGCATAGGATCGTGTGATTTCCAATATAAATAACGGCCAGCGAAGCCCCAAAGATGAGAGCGTTGTTAATCTGAAGATTGTTATTGTATTATGTTAATCTCTTTACTGCTAAATATTCTTCGACAACACGTTTCGGATTATTATTTGCCTGGTTAATTCAGGTCTCAGACATGTGATTTATTGTAAATATCTCTAATATGTCTTTTAATATGGTCCATCAGATTTTACATTTTGTTTAGGGTTAACAGGAGCGACGGCCCAAAAGATTCAAATTTTTCTCAAAAAGCGCCCTGTGCCGCGTTCGGCACACTTCTCTTGAATATAAATATTACATACTTGTTATGAATTTCTCTTAGAATTGTGTCCGGAAAATGTGAATTACTTTTCTGTGTTTCACTGTTACTCCGCTAGAGATATTACTATCACTGCTGTTGGCCTTTAACCTTTCATTTACGGTACGCTACTATAATAGCTCACTTGTTTATCTCATGTTTTAAACTTTGCACATATAAAGTATAAAAATAGAACTGGAATAGGAATAGAATTTCACGCAAGTTTCTTATTTCCGTCTAACTGAGGAGCAGAAGGAAGATCAAATTTTCGCTGCGTCCCATTATTAGTAAACATGAATACAGATGTACTGTCCAAGTGCTGACATTACACCAATTTAGCATTGGGACCAATGAAGTTGGTTTAACCAATTTTTAATAATTAAGATAAGAGACGACGAAACCGATTTCCCACACGACCACACCAAGCAGTAACCCGTAGGAGTTTTGTTAAACTTGAGTAGCGCTGAACGAGGTCTCGTACAACGGAAGTGCAATTGATGTCGGTGGTAGAGCACATGACACTACGTTCTTCGAGATCACCAGACGTACTAAATCGAGAAGATGACAGAGGAAAGTCTTTATTTTCTTTAAATTGTTGCAATGTTCGACGTGCCATGTATGAAGTATTAGCCAGACCATACATTACAATATAGGGTTGAAAGCTATCGGATACGGCGTCATTTTCTCTCCATAAATTTTGCTGCAGAGGTCGGTCATCTTCTTTATCTCGCGTTTGATGGTATATTTTCTCAATGTCCGTGGAGACTTCATACGCGTACCATCTCCAGCGAACGAGAATGTTCGTAAGATTCATCCGCAATTTAGGACCCCTGTTAAGGAGGACTCCCAAATGGGATTCTTTCGATGTAGGTTGCTGGTCACAAATCGTTGCTTTTTCTAGCGATTTGTAATCGGGCGAGCATTGCAGTTCATGTACAGAAGATTCGTCCAAGCGATCAGGTTCCATGAGAGTCGCGTCGATGGGACCAGAGAGCACCCAACCCAGGGACGTTTGTTGCGCGATAGGAGCGCCGCCGGATCCACGCCGAAGTCCTTCTCGAATGATCTGCGAATATACGCGAGCGCCGAGGATAACATCTATTTTACTTGGCTTTGAAAAATCAGGATCAGCTAGACTCAATCCTTCCAGATGCGACCATTGCGTACGAAAGATAGGGGCAGCTGGTAAAGAGGTCGTGAGTTCCGGCAAAATAAGAGCGTCAACGTGACACGTGAAAGACTCGTCGACGCGTGAGACTAGCTGAAAACTGGTAGCTCCTCGTGCAACGTCCGAATGCTGCGCCCCGATACCGATGATCGGTACGGCAGAAAATCGACGCGTTAATCCGAGCATTTCCGCGAGCAATACGGTTATAAACGAAACCTCGGACCCTTGGTCGAGAAGAGCACGAGCATGAAAATGTTCACCGTTTTTAGAGACCACGATTATCAACGCGGTCGCGAGAAGGACGGGCGTACGTCTGATGATATTTGGACGGGACGACGAACAGAGGGGGCGAGAGGCGTTCAACACCGTGAGTTCCCTTTCCGGAATACCGGAAATGTGTTTGGAATTTGAAGACGGAAATGAAAAGGATACGGACTTAACTAAGTTACTTGACGTGTGGTGATGCTTCTGACATATTCCGCATCGATCGGGTGTATGACAATTCTTTAGGAGATGTGGCCCCATGGTGCCGAAGCATAAACCTTTCAAGATGGCGGACTGGCGCCGTTGAAATGATCTCTTCGCAGGATATTGAAAGTGTCCGGAAGTACACAGCGCGCATACAGACTGTTTCATTGATGGAGTATTAATTAAGTTAGCCATAGGTCTTAATACTGTCCTTGATGATGCACTGCTGTCCATGCTGATCGATTTAATGAAAACTTAAACTGTTTAACAGTACACTGATGTACTGAATACACTGACACCGTTGTTGTAATGGAATAGAACTGTTAAAGACACAATTTAATCGAGAGATGTGAACGATACTCGATCACAGCAAGGGGTTTAACGAACCAAATTAACTGCGTTTGTTTTGCCTTGTCAAGTGTTGCGAGAAGACTAACGTTAGCGAGACTCGCTAAAGTATATGTACGATGCACGAGATAAATGTTAGATGTATGAGTAAAATTATAAGTCCAATTAGTAAACAAATCTGATCCGCGTTAAGAAACAGCTGATTAAGCGAGTAAGAGAGATTGTCGCATCGGACAGAAATTTAAATTGGTACAAATGATGTGTGATCGGATTAAGAGGAAATTAATCCGAATCTTTGCGTTTTAGCAAAAGAAATTGGTTATTTCTTATTGATGAAAACAATGTCACTGAAACTTATATAGGCAATTTCAATGTAACCCAGTAAACTCAAGGTATGGACCTTGAATACTTATAGGCTGATTAATACTTTTCTATAAAATTATTAACAATCAATTATCATCTCGGACAATTGAAAGAAAGATCTACCTTCTGACATCGAGTGTATAAATTAAACATGAAAGTGTTTAACCTGATTAAACCGTATCTTATCTCATGCGAGTTTTGCTGATCGTGGTCAGACTCTTCTTATATATGTATAATTCATAATAGATTACAAAAAACGCTATGTAACTGCTGTAATAAAATGACTCAATACTACACTATGTTTTATATTTAGCGTTTGTCCATTTAAGTCCTCGTTTCCTTTCCTACTATCAACCCTTCTATCAACCCTTGAACAAAGGAGCTTGGGTCAATCGTGACCCAAACTTAGAAAACTTGTTCCAACAAATATTTTACTGAATTATCTGAGGAAGATAAGAAGGAGCTTGGTGGTGAGCTAGAGAGGCAGTCAGTAACGGGGGGGAATCCCGTATATAACAACGAATGATGGTGCGTATGGGACAGTGTGATCTGCAGTGGAGTAAAGGATGGATCGTTGGAACGGAAAAGTAGCGATTGTGACCGGCGCTAGCTCCGGGATTGGAGAGGCGATTTCAGAAGGTCTGGTGAAACGCGGAGTTAAGGTCGTTGGCCTCGCGAGACGAGTGGACAAGCTCCAGGAACTGACCTCGAAACTGGGCAAAGATAAGTTTTATTTCGTCCAATGCGACCTTAGGAAGGAGGAAGATCTCCTGAAGGCGTTTAAATGGGTCGAGAAAGAACTGGGAGGGGCTGATATCTTAGTAAACAACGCGGGAACTGTACAGTTAGTCAATGTCGTAGGTAAACATTGTTTATTTAGTATCGAATCAATGCACTATATGTTTGTTGCAACAGAATCTGGGACAAAGTGAAAGATTTGGTTGCAAAGTTGACCACCGGTGACCAACATAACGAATTTAATTCGGTCAAACACATTTTTGCAATAATTTTCTGACCGCAACCACAATATCTGATCGATTTCACTTATGCTCAGATATTCTGCTTTATCCATGTCTTATTTATACTAGTGTCCAGTGCCGGATTAAACAGGGAATTAAAGGGGGATACAGCCTCGAATTCCCTTATAAATTTCTCATTTGCTATGTCAGAAAATATTGAATGAAATTTTTTTTACTATTTCCCTTTTTTCACGATTAAACGTTATTTAATTTCATTTAAAATAAATTTCAATTTCAGTTTCAAAATTCAGTTGCAAAATTTTCGGATGTCATTAAATAAGAAAAATGAGGCAAAAACTGGAATTTTAATTTTCTCTTCTTACTAACCCCCTGGTTGAAATAAAGTGTTAAAAATTGATGTACAGTGTTTTCTTTCAAGGGCCATTTTAATTACCTTATCCGGTTATACCCTGTATTAACCAAGGGGGCCTTCAAAAGTTCGATAGCTTCTGGGCCCTAGAAATCTTAATACGGTCCTGCAACCATTAGCCGTTCGAATATGATAGCTAATTGGATGATATATACGTTCGTTTTGAATCAATGTTGACTAGCTTCTGACAAAGGCTGTTAGAATGAAACACATGTCAAGTGTCCTATCATTTGTCCGATCAAAACCAACTCATGTTTATACTTCTTCCTCTAAATTTCTTCTTGTATACCATTAATTTTGAAATTAATTTTATTTTCTTCCAGATTCGACTACTGAGGAGTACTATAAAGTAATAGACACGAACCTCATAGCGCCGGCGATTTGTGCACGAGAAACAGTTCAGTCTCTAAGAAAGCGAAATGCATCCGGGCACATAATTAACATCAACAGGTGAATAATTATTCCGCTAATAAGTCAGAGGGGCAAGAGAAATCGTGCGTTCGCACCGCCCAATTCTTTTCTAATAGGTCCTCTAGGTGACGAAATACGCGAACGAAACAATACACGACAAAATGAGACACAGCGATATTCGATATATCTGTCTTACTTTGTCGCATCCCTTTCGTTCGCGTATTTCGTCACGCAGTGGACCTATTAGAAAAGAATTGGGCGGTGCAAACGCACGATTCCCCCTGCCCCTGCGACTTTTTATCTTGATGGAGCTCGGCCTTCTTCTGGTGTACGAACAGTACTTTTCAACTATATGTATATTAAATTTTATAATATATTTTTTACTATTTTATTTCTTGTACCTTTTAAGTATCACCTTGTACCTTGTATCTTTTATTTCTTGTAGAAAAATGTGAAAAAATGAAACGTTTTGTCCTTTGCCTTTTAAAATGCTGCAACTTTTTCGAATGTTAATAATCTTAAGTGACATTAGTAGTTCAAAATATGCTTGAACACTCGGGATTGGAAGTTTGATTTCATTTTTACAGTATCGCTGGCCACTTTGCCGAGAGTCTGCATACGCCACTTGGAATGTATGCTGCTAGCAAGTACGGTTTGACCGCTTTGAGCACGGAACTACGTCACGAAATAATAGCAGGAAATTTAAGTATTAAAGTCACGGTAAGTTTGAATTACAGTCCGCAACAAAACTGTAGCACGTGTCAAAAATTTATAGGAAGGGGTGATAATGTGATCCCTGCTAGTAATGTAGCATGTACTACTAGTACAGCCAGGAAAAAAAAGAAGAAATTTTTTTCTGTTTCAACTTTCGTTTTCAAAAACAGAGTTAAAAAAATGTTATTTTCATTTATGTAAATTAGGAGATGCAACCCTTTAAGATAAAAATAATGCTAACTCTTATGTAAATAAAGAAAAATGCGTGCAATTTTTGTGAAAAACCCATCCCTTTCTCTAATAATTTTATTTTGCCCATTTTCGATTATAACGAATAAACAAAACGCCAATCTACGAGTTAATAAAATTACGTTTTCAATTATCATTATGACGAATGATTATCATGCTCTAAGATGCTATTAAAGGTTTCTTTTTTACAGAGCGTCAGTCCAGGATTAGTGAATACAGAGATGGTAAGTAAGTATCTGCCTGCAGATAAAAAAATACCCATACTGCAAGCCCAGGATGTCGCGGACGCAGCGCTTTATGCGTTAGGAACACCGGAACATGTGGAGGTAAGTGAAAATAATAATCCACAAACTACACCACGCGAACAATTCCCAGTAATCATTGACAAATTACATAAGAGACATCTTCACCAAATATTTCACACGAATTTTAATAAACCCTTAATAAAAAATGTTTCTAGATCCCCGAACTTATGATTATACCACACGGTACACCGATAGGAGGTAACGCAGACTCGCCAGTCACGTAAGTAATTTTTTCAAACAAACATTTCACTGAAACAATAGATAAATAAAACGTCGAATATATTCGTATTTGTTAATTTGCCTGTTTTCTTGCAGACCCCGGAACCCATAAGGAAACATTGGATCGTCTTTAAAATACAGAACAAAAAATGTTAATTAAGAAGATCCTTACAATTTTTCAAAACATTCTTAAATGTATGAGAATATTCAAATAAATAAAGGAAATTTCCATTATATAGGTAATAATAATTTTTGTACAATCCTCGTTTGTCGGATCATGAGTTATTATTGCACGTTGCATAACCAAGGTTGATTCTCAAGCGCCTTTACGATAGTGTTTCTTTTTTATTGTATACTTCCTGTATCACTCCTTTGATAATTGACATATCATTGTCTATTATGGATGTGTGGCAACCACGGTTGAAGAGTTCAATTCTTACGAATTCTTACTCGTCGAAGTATATCTTATATAAAAATTAACGTACGTTTCAACAAAAGCAGCTTAAAAATTTCTGTAGATTAAAATAAAAAAATCTAAGATTTATAGTAAGATATGTACAGGCAGAATTCAATGTATTGTACCGAAATACTTTTATTGGTACCTCGAAAATGAATAAATATCCAAAGTTAAAATTATTAATTTAGGGTTCACTCACCCTCTCTCCCAATTCCCCAAAATTTCATATCGATTAGAGGAAGTACAATCTATTTTATGTAAAAAGAGTATTAGAGTGCAGTGTAAAAATATCAATAGAAATCACTTGAAAGAAAACTGCTGACGCGATATTTTATTTCGCAATTATTTCTCTATCTCCATTAAGGTAATGCTATTTACTCTCCACTCCGTAGATTAGTACACACTGTATCTGAAGTACACTCTCGTCATTGATCATCTGCTCACCGTGATAAGTAGGATGTCGCTGAACAGTGATTGGGCTGTAACGGTCGAAGGTTCTAATATAAAGCGAGAGACAACCGTGCCCGTGGAACAGTGTGATTTACAGTCAAGCAAAGGATGAATCGTTGGAACGGAAAAGTAGCGATCGTGACCGGTGCGAGCTCCGGGATCGGAGAAGCAACCGCGGAAGCTCTGGTGAAGCACGGTATTAAAGTTGTCGGCCTCGCGAGAAGAGTGGACAAACTTAAGGATCTAGCCACGAAATTGGGAAAAGATAAATTCTATCCTATTCAATGCGACTTGAGGAAGGAGGACGATATCTTGAAGGCGATGAAATGGGTCGAAAAGGAACTGGGTGGTGCGGATATTCTTGTGAACAACGCAGGAGTCGCCATTACAACTCCCGTGATCGGTAAAGTTTCATCATTGTTTAAAATTAAGACGGTATAACAAATTAAAAATTAATCCATTACTCGACTGGTTATCTTTTAGTAGACAATAGCGAACAGAGTGTCCAATTTTAATTTTCCTATTGTAATCAGAGTAAAAATTATCAGAGACATCAACTTTGTCCCGAATCCTATAATCGTTTCGTACACAGAATATTCTGAAAAATCAACCTGTATAGAAAAGAATATGTAATTCTATTTCAAATAAAGTAAAGGTTACTGTGAAATCTCAGAGATCAAGACGGATCATAACATTCTGAACACACTTGTAAAGTTTACCGTGGGACACCCTGTATACTTTATTAGCGAGGACAGTAGATTAGTATGTCAGTAAATTACTTTCTACGTGACACTTCTGTATCATTCACACGATCTTACCAAGTACAAGTATATGGTTTCAAATATAATTTTCTTCGGTAAAATGGAAATAATATGATTTATACTTCTAAATAATGATTTTTTTACACGAATTGGTTAATGTACAAACGAGTGACCAGCTATTTATTGATTATGATTCATATAGCAACAGCATTTACGAGAAAGAAATTAGATACGGGTATCATAAGATACCAAATACAATAATATAGAGAACAGTAATCAGCTATTGATATCTACTTGATCTTGATAACGTGATTGTGAGCTTCTGTAATCAGGGCACATCAAAAGTTAACCTTGTTAGCCACTTATTGTTGGATTTTAAAAAATCATGTTGACAGATAATAGTATCAGTTTTGCGTAATGATTCAATCATTACTATATTGACAACTGACAGTCATGCTGAGTCAGCACTTAAAAGATACAAGATAGTATATTATCGTATTCAGAATTTTAAATACATTGTCATTTAAGTTAATTAATTCCAATGTCAATGTCGAGATATAAGTTGTTACATAATGATCGATAATTCTGTCTGAAAGAGACAGATATTTTTACATCTATCTGCAATACATAGGTCAATTAATACAAATTATTTAAACTTGAGATTTACAATGATTTCAGAAGATAATTCACGATAAGTGACAAAAGTGCACGACAAAAGTGCAGCATGCAATATGTAGTATTGTAGGCATAAATCATTGGCGTAACTAAGCAGAAATCAAGGTGGTCCTGGTCTCCTTAATAATCTGGACTAATCACTCTCTCCAAAAATGTGAATCTTTATCATTCTAAAATTTTAAGATAACATTACAATATTGAAACATCGGTTAACGAACGTGGTTACATTGTGATCCATGAAACATTGTTGCATGATTCACGCGATGCAGAAACTGTACAAGTTAATTACCATTAAGCCTTGTCAAGAAAACGGAAGAAACAAGTAGACTCGTCTATTATTAAAAGTTACATAAAGATTTTTTGTATCCGCAATACTTCATTGTTGAGAAGATCAAAACATGCAAAATTGTATTCAATTTTTAATCAGTCATTAATTTCTTAATTATTCTCACTTAGAATGTTAGAGAAGATATTCAAATGTGTTAAATAAATTATATCGTTTTTTTAACGAGATAAGAATAGTCGAGAATCAAGTTACATATATGTATTTTCTTGGCTCATTAATCTACATTGCAGTGTCGCAACTGAGGTCGAGATAAAAAGTGTCAATGAACCCCTCTATTAAGAAATTAAAAACCCTTTTTTAAATATTTTTGAAAATGTTAGAAAATAGAGCACCATAATACCACATTTATTTTACTATATCTACTTTATTTAATTTTTACGAAATTCGAAAGTGCCTAAGAGCTGAGTCCCCGACAAATGGCCTATTCGTCCTGATTAATAAAAATTGAGCCATCCTTAACGTTCTATTTCAGATTCGGCTACCGAAGAATATTATAAAGTAATCGACACTAATCTGATAGCCCCTACAATTTGTGCACGAGAAGTTATCCGGTGTTTGAAAAAGCGAAATACAGCGGGACACGTTATTAACATCAATAGGTAAAACAGTTTTACGAATTTTTTCAAAATCATTTGTTTTGATCGACGAGTTGAGGGTTTTATATATAATTGTGTCATTTTTACAGTATCGCCGGACACTTTGCCGAGAGTCTGCACATGCCACTTGGAATGTACGCTCCTAGTAAATACGGTTTGACTGCTTTGGGCTCAGAACTTCGTCACGAAATAATCGCAGCTAATTTAAACATCAAGGTTACAGTAAGTTACTGATCATTTCTAAGAAATTTATTTAACGGTCTACAGGAGTAACAGTAGCACTTCTAGCGGAGTAGCAATGGAACATAGAAAAGTAATTCAAATTTTCAGGCAGAATTCTGAGAGAAATTCATCCATAATTATAATATTCATATTCAGGAGAAGTGTACCAAACACGGTACTGTTTTGTGTATGTATTTTATATAAAAATGTATTTTTTATAAGGTTCTAAAAGCCGAATTGGATACCCGGCTCTGTACATCCCTGTATAATTGTACAAAAAATATTTTTCTTCGCTTCGAAATCTTTGAATTATGAAATCGCTAAATTTGAGCCGTTCTATGTCAACATAGTTACTTCGAAGTTCTCAATTCTGCAAAATTCAATTCCCGTCCGCATGAGGCACCCGCGGGCGAATTTGGACCGTCACTCCTGTTGGCCCTTGAAGAATAATCAATAAACTCCAAGATTATAAATTTACATCTTTACAGAGTATAAGTCCTGGAGTGGTAGAAACAGAGATGGCAAGTGGTGTCATACCCCCGAATTTAGGTATTCCGGTATTGAAAGCTGAGGATATCGCAGCAGCAATAATTTATGCCGTAGGGACACCGGAGCATGTAGAGGTGAGTAAATAGAAAATTAATTATCTATATACGATGCCCCATAAGAAATGTTGTTCCCACTAACGAATAATACTTTCAGATTCCCGAAATTACAATTATGCCGCATCGTGCGACGATAGGTATACCGACAACGTTTGATCAGTAAGTAATATTTAATTAATTTAATTGAATTTCTTTTTTACAAGAAACGCTTTCCCATTCTAAAAAATTCCGATTTTAATGAAAGTTAATGGAATTGTACGTATGAAAAATTCGGCAAATCTTAAAGGCTGATTTCATCCCTTCAGAGTGAATTTCAGTTAAGAACACTTGTACTACAATACAATCCTAAGAAATTTTGCTGAAATAAAAATTATCAAGTTCGGACACTTTTCTTGTAAATAAAATTAATCAACAATATTGCAATTAATAATATCTCTCTTTCCTTGCAGAATGAAAAAGAAATAAGGGGACAGAAACATCAAACCACTCGGATTGCTGTTTGAATTAGAAGAAGATGATTTCTTAAAAAATATTTAACAAATATATATTCAATCTTATACTTGTGTATTTTACATAATATTTTTTTTGTATATTTTGGTATAGCTGAAATATGAAAATATTCACACTCTACTAATAACAATAAATATTTCTGCTACGTTTTTATCTTACTCCAATGTACATTTATTTGTTTAAATGTAATAAATAAGTCAATTGGATTCAGACCTCCCAGAAGGACGTTGAGCATGCTCGAGGGTGGACATCAGTTTAAATATCCTAATAAGTTTCCAAGTAAACTTTGCATATTCCAACGTCAGTTGCGTCTACAGTTTTATCATAATTTCAACCATAGCTACGGCTTATAAATAACATAGCTTGATAAGCAGATATTGGAATTTACAATAAAGCAATATCTTCAGCAATAACTTTTAAATAGTAAACATGTTACCTAAATGACCTAGAGAAAGAAAATGTATTCAATGCTTATCGTTAGCGGAATTATTTTGCAAAGATAGGAAACTGGTAACAACCGGTAGGAACACTACATAAAATAAAGGGACGAATAATGACTCGCTCAGAACAGTGTGGATCATATTTTTTATAAACAATGGATCGTTGGTTTGGAAAAGTAGCGATTGTTACCGGTGCGAGCTCCGGAATTGGGGAGACGATTGTAGAAGCTCTAATGAAACACGGTATTAAAGTTGTTGGTATCGCGAGAAGTGTGAACAGACTTAGGGAATTGACCGTGAAATTTGGCAAAGATAAGTTCTATCCTATGGAATGTGACTTGACGAAAGAGGAAGACATCCTCAAAGCGTTTAAATGGATCGAGAAAGAATTGGGTGGTGCCGATATTCTTGTGAACAGTGCGGGAGCTTTGATTAAAATACCGATCATTGGTAAAGTTTCAGAATCTTTTTTTTAAATAGAGAAATACTGAATAAAATGCGTTGATAATTGTTTTGTCTTGTTGTATGCCTCAAAACATGTGCTACACATGTATTAACACAGATAATATAGGTCAATGTTAATAGGTTGACCTACAATAACTTATCATAAATATGAGCGCAGCGGCAAGATCCTACCGTAAGTGAGGCAGCGCCTCTGTTTATATACTCTGCATTGGCTGCGCAGTATCGCCACTGCGCAGAATCACCACTGCGCATGCGTGCGCTGCTTATCGGCGCTAATTTTCTTTTTTACTGAAACTTATAAAGTTATAATTCCAGTCGCGCATATTATAAAATCATAAAAAAATATTAAGTTTCTATTATAATAAAATAAAATAAAATTAAAATTTACATTTGTTGAATGTAAATTTGTACTAAATTTGCGCTAAATTGAATTTGTAAAATATTTCAAATTTTTATATAAATAATATAATATAATAATATATTTTGATATTATTTATATATACAAGGCACCTCATCCTGTAGGAAGCAATGACAGTAAGATAAATACTTTGTTACAGATTCACCTACCGAGAACTTTCATAAAGTAATCGATACCAACCTAATAGCTCCTGCGATTTGTGCACGAGAAACTATTCAGTCTTTGAAAAAGCGAAATGCAGCCGGGCACATAATAAACATCAACAGGTAAATAATTTGTCAAATTTTCTCAAAATTACTCGTTTCGCTCGGCAATTTTCAGTTACTAGAAAACTGTATAATTTTGATAGTGTGTGCGGTCATTTTGCCGAGAGTGTGCACATACCGCTCGGTATTTACCCCGCCAGTAAATACGGTGTGACTGCTTTGACTGTCGAACTTCGTCATGAAATAATCGCAGCCAATTTGAATGTCAAAGTTACGGTAAATCACTTTCCCAAGTTCTATTTTAACGAATAACGATCAATCCTTAAGATGCAGTGAAACGTTTATATTTTTGCAGAGCATCAGCCCCGGAGTAGTGAAAACAAATATGTTAAAACACAATATACCAATTGATTTAGCCACACCGACATTACAAACCGCGGATGTCGCAGAAGCAATAATTTATGCATTGCAAACACCGGAGCATGCAGAAGTGAGTGAAAATAAATTTCCATCAATTATCTATTATGTAAATTGTCCCGCAATATGTGGAACTCATTGCAGGAATTGATTTATTGCCTGATAATAATGGAAATGATTCATATAATTGTATTTCATACTTATCGATTAAATTGAGAAGAACATTATTTCTTATTAAGGGACTGATGAATTTTTTCATTGTTTTTAAATAATGTATCAATTACTAAAATGGGTTCCGCATATTAGAGAACATCTTGTAGATCGATAAAGTACAAGCGGTTCTCATTGTTAATAATCATTAATAATTGTACAGTAGATTTATTCATGAAACATTTGAAACCGATACACACTATTAATAAACAATATTTTCAGCTTATCGAAATTACACTTATGCCACATGGCTTGGCAGTAGGTTGCCCATTACTTCCAGAACTGTAAGTGATGTTTAATTGTTTCATCTAATTAGAGTTATCATTTAATACCGGCGCAATTATTAATAGGTCTGTTTTCTTGCAGAATGAAAGAATTATAAAGCAATAAGATTTATTCATGGATTTATCTCTAAATTACAGGATGTTGCGTTTTCGAGAGAGATGCATTTAAAAATCACCTTTTCCATTTTAAAATAAATGCAATTTTTAAACGCTTACTGTCTACTGTTTATTAGGTAACACTGTTGTATAATTTTATACGGCAGAAAGAAACGTTAGTTATAAGTAAGGCGAAACGTTAGAGAACAATTAAGAACTCTCACGAGTTCGGCAGAAATTAAAAGAAATTGAGAGTAGAGATCGCGACTAATTTTTGAAGGGTTTTTGTTAACTGTGATCACTGGGGTGTATCCGCACGAATCTGTTACATTCGATGACTAAATATTTCATATTAATAATCTGCATCATTGAAATTCTAACGAGCACTAAGAAACTTTTTGAAACTAATGATAATTTTTTCATACTTAACATATATTAACACTACAACTACCGACGTTTGATGCACACTTATTTTTAATTATATTATATTCAATTTTTTGTAATTACTTTTGTCATTTGTCCTGGCATTTAATATGTATTTAGAATACTTAAAGCACAATTGTGTTACGTTTAAGATGTACGTAAGTTTTATGTAAGTCATTATAATTACAAATTCTTTGTAATTATAAAAAGCTGAAAGAGTTGTATAATAATAGAATGCGATTGAATCATTATTTTCCTGTAATTAAAAATTGTAATTGAAATTTATAATTTTAATGTTCTGAAATTTTCAAATTTTAGAATTGTAGAATTTCAGAATCTTATAATTATAGAATAGTAAGGGGGTCCAGACTTCCACCCCTTGGCTCCTACCTAGTTACATCAGTGTTAGATTCTAATTATTGTATTCGATCTATAAAACACTCTTTATAAATGCTATTTGCAATGAAAATTTTTATGGAAAGTTGTATAGTCCATCACTGACTATGCTACTAAAACAATCGTGGCGTAAATAACAATGTGGTCAAGGTGGTACAAAGATATCAGTCAGGTAGCATTGAAATGCTCCATTTCGTATGGGTTTATGTTCATTGTTCGAGGCTTGGTCGTGGTTTCGTAACGGGCAACTTATTTTCAGTAACAATTGTGCTGTCTACAATTCGCGATTTACTCGTCGATGGAATTCAGGAAGTGAAAGGCAATTAAGAAACGTGGAAATTACGAAATAACTATCGCCCTAATATTCGTGAGTTACAGAATTCAAAACAAAAACTGTTTAACAATATTTCGTAACGTTATATTTACACAACAATTCATATTCATAGCTTTTTAAAACGTAACATATTATTGAATTTTAAGAAAAGTTATTTCATATGTATGCTATTATTGATATTTCTCAGTTATGTACTAAATTTTATAATATACAATAATTAAAATTTATACCACTTTTTTCCTAAATTATTTTTAATATTAATATCGTTAAAATTATCATTCTGAGAACTCCTGCTCCTCCTATATCGCCATTTCCTCTACAGAAACCTGATCTGATCGCTAGTATACCACTTGTCTTAATTCACCCTGTGTACTTGACTTATATTACTCTAAATCATCGCGATGTTTTTTTTTAAGTATCGTCCTGTACTTGAAATAGCTTCATATTTTTTTATTTTTTTGTTTATGAACTTAAAAGTATTATCAATATAATTAACTACACTGCAGTTAGTGTAATGACAAAGAAGATAAATATTCAATTACAATGTAATTTAAAGAGAAAGAATTGCATAAGGAAACCACTTGTTCTTCTCAACAAATTTACATATAAGATTCTAAATTTTAAAAAATAAAAAAATAACAATGAAGATTTCACAAGAAACTCTTAGTTAACTATTCCACCTTGGATTCGATCATTTTCTTTCCACTCCTGATCGATCATGGCTGAAATGTAAAAACTATTCTCGAGGTTGTGCGTTGCTTAAGAACAGATTAAACAAATTCAGTCTCTTTCAGACTAGTGAATAAGAAAGTGCATAGCATTGTCGCCAAAGGTGAGTTCTATTAATACTTGCCCAATAATTAAAATTTTTATTCATCTATTGATTTACCTACACCAATTTTGCATTTAGAAAATCAATTTTTCATTTTACATATTTCTATAAATCGTATGCATATTATCAAGATCTCATTGCTCTTTACACAGACTTTTACATTACTCTTTTTTTTTTTACAAATGAATGAGTTTCTACTGTTAAATATTCCATTATTTCTCTCGTGTACCAGTTGTTATCAATTTCCATTACGATGCAAATATGGTGTGAGCCAACAAATGAAATAGAAATCGACAATCTCACCGCTCTGTATAGCCAATCTAGAATGCGCTAATAATATTAAACTATGAAACTTTTTCATTTCTAATAACAATATTTACATAAAAAAAACTATAACCTAATCAGAATCATAAATACTACACGTAAAGGGATTCATTTAGATTGTTGAGTCTTATCCAATCTCACAAGATTGACATACATTACCATGAAATAAGAAAGTATACTTTGTAATTGTTTTCATCACTTCGTTTCTTTTCGGATGCATTATTTCAAACCTCATAAACGAATACATTCTTTTAGAAAATTATTCCCACGACTCACGCTCATAGATAGAATTTCATTCGAATCGTACCAGTAATTACACTTTAGGTACACTCGCGGTCAAATCAGGCTTTCCTAGAGGGAATGGCGATATCTTACTTAGGAAGTAAGAATTTTCAAATTCTTAATTTTCACGAAAAATAATATAACTTTTAAGTTTTATATGTGGCTATCATCTAAAGTATGGTCTACCATAGAAAAACTATTGACTATAATAGTCCAAGGTGTGATCTACTTTCGACCCCTGTTTCATTCCTATTTTTCAAAATTTTTTCAATTTAAAAAAAATTTAGTTTAATTTTTAAGTTTTTGGAAACCATAAACCTACATATTATAGCCTATGTTAAATCACGCCTTGAACGATAGCCCAACTGGTTTATTTGGTGAACAGAAATGTATCATATTAATCTAAATCATTAACGAACTTTTCAAAGCACGTTTGGAAGCACCAAGAACAATTCCGTTATTTTTTAACGTCAATTACGTTCCGCGCTTTTCACGCATAATAAGTTATTATTAGCATTAATATTAGCATTAACATGTTCGTGCAAAGCCTATTAGCAACGAGGAAAAGGTTTTTCACCGTTCGTTTATCATACACCATACGATCACGCGACTGTTTAAGGACAACCTGGTAATTAATTAAAAAAGTCATTAACTGGAATGCGATTTATAATGATTCATTCACGTGCGTTAATCGCATAGCGATTTTATCGAGCAGCAGAACGCGTAACGTGCTTGCTCAGCAGACGATTCGATCTGTTTTTCTGTAACATTCTTTTGCGCTTAACGTGCTGTGTAAACTACCTCACGAATCTTCATTAACACTGATATCCATAGAAGATCTCAATGTTTAAAGAATTCTTAACCTTGCGTTGAATGACTCTTTTTAAATTTAAAAAAAAAATTCCGAAGGTGTGATTAATTAGTAGGTGTGACCGCTTCGACCAATCATACGTCACGGCCCACGTCACGTGTGAGTTAGGGTGGGGTGCGACCAATCAGATTACGTTATTAGCTAGGTCAGATTTACCTAACCTGACCTATAGGTTGTATTAATAAAATAGTAATAGCATAAAAATCTTTCTGTTTTTATGTATACCATAGAATCTAATGAAATTTGATTTAACAAAAGATGACAAAATGTCCAATCAATTCATCCACAATTTCGATTAATTTGAAACGAAGGAAACTCATAAAGAGAAAAGCTGACTGCAAATAGAGCGATTAACTCGAAGAAAACAGTCTCGGCGAGAGAAGTGCAAAAAAACGTGCGTGCAGGGTCGTTAACGCACATTTTTTTACTTTTTACCGTTGAAACATTCTTTCCAGACAAAAAAAAAAAGAAAAGTAGCTGACGCGATAGCTGCTTCGCACGATCTAAATACTTACACAGGAATAATAATTTCAATCGCCGCTGGAGAAATTTTAACGTTCGTTTATTATGTAACTACAATGCGCCATTGCATTTCTCTTCTTGTTACTTTTCTTATTGCTTTTGTTAAGCAATTTGCATACGTATAAGTTAAAGTACAATTACGTATACATAAACCTCTATAACCGGAAATGATTATCGACCGATAGAAATCACAGTGAACGAGATGATATAATACAATAAATCATTTTGGAACTTTCAAATGTTTCTCATTAGTACTGACCGTCCTAATCTTTACTATTACAGTACACCCTTGTTATATTGCCATATGTTCACAAGGACTTTTAAGTATTCTTGTGCCGCTCCGCGGCAATATAACGAGAGGCTACTGTAATTCTAAGTAGGACCATCCCCATCAGTGGCGCAACCAGAAATGTTCCATGGGGATAATTTTTTCCATACCCTATTAGCACCATGATAATATTAAGCATAATTTTATATTTAATCTAATTTTTTAATTAAGAGTCAGCTGCCTCGTTTGATCTCCCTAGTTACTACTTTATACAAAAATTAGATTTGCATCGTTCTTCGATTAAACTTTTTTGTGGTGTTATCGTTCGAAACTAATGGCTTACGCTTTTTCTTCTTCTTCCCCTCCCAGAAGTCTACTTACGTTATGCTCCAAATCCTCCCTTTACTCCTCTCCATATAGAAAATACAAAGTGGTAATAAAGCAAGTTGTTTCGAGTAGCCAATCAGTCAGTTCTCGCGTTTCTAACAAGGAGTTCCGACGATCGGTGTCTGTCGGTTTAGTCGACAGAAAGAACATGCTCGTTAAACGTAAACGGAAAAAATGGAGAACCTATCGTGGATAATAAAATTCGCCACGACCATTCTTCCGTTTCTCCATTTGTGTAAGGATGGCATTTTCTTTTCTTTACGGTCCAAAATCTTTGTCAATAATCACCGTTCTTTTTAAATAACGATCGAAGAATCAGCTGATCGTAAAGTAAATTCGCTTTTATTGTCACAGATGTGTTGGGACGTGCATAAAGATTTTAATAATAATAATACTGTAGCAATCGTACGTCGACGGAAAGTGATAAATGTGCAGCAATGACGATAATCATTGCAATAACTGTTTCAGTTGGATTCGGAATGAATGTCGCGTGGATAACAACGCTTTTGACCGTGGTGTTTCTTTTGGAGTTTCTACTGGTGGCGAACGTCGATGGAATTTTTTTCCCGTCCTTGCTATCATCGTCAAAAGTGAAAACCAACTTTCCAACCACGGGGAAACTCGGAAATGAAGATGCGAAGGTCGAAGATGGTAATCGTCAGGACAGTAAAGAGAAGCCTCATATCGTCATCATTCTCGCCGATGATATGGTGAGCGACTGTTATCAGTACCTTAAGTGATGTTAACTTTTTAGATAAATCAACAATGTTATTAGAGAGAAAAATTTAAAAACTCTCCTTCTTTTAAAAAAAAATTCTCAGTTGTTTTTCTATATAAGTTTTACCAACAAATTTTTAGTACGCTCCTTATCATTCGGTTGACACGTAAGAAAAACAGAGCCAAATAATATTTTCGAGTATCTTAAACAAAAGTCAGTAAAAAAAATGTTTGATTAAGAAATTATCAATATTACAAGTATAAATATGATGTGAATATTAACCCTTGGACGACGGACCATGGAGAGAACCATAATTTTAATTGAAGTTTGTATTTCATACTATTTTCATTTTCTAAATGTGAGACTGTCCCTTTAAAAATTATTCCTCTAACATAGGAAACACTTTCGTTTAAAAATTATTTATCTTTGGATCACGACCACAGGGATGGAACGACGTGAGCTTCCATGGATCCGATCAAATTCCTACACCGAACATCGATGCCCTTGCGTACAATGGAATCATCTTAAATAATCATTATGTTCCCGCGTTATGCACGCCGAGTAGAACTGCTCTGATGACCGGAAAAAATCCCATTCATCTGGGTATGCAACATTCCGTTCTTCTCCCCGCCGAACCTCGAGGACTTCCGTTGAGCGAAAAACTGCTCCCAGAGGTCGGTTTTCAAACATTATTCTAATCGAATTGAAATATAACAAGTGTGCCTCGTTATTTTTTAAAGAGAGATGTCCAACTGTTGCTCACGAACAAATATCCCCCATGATGTACCCCCTTATCCGCCTCAAATTCACAAGAATGGAGTTTGGAGGGCTTGCTCCAACAGTTGGATATCTCTGATCTAGAGTCTAGATTCTAGACACTATAAAATCAATATCTTTCGACAATTCTAATTGATTCGTTCTAATTGCAGTATTTAAAAGAAATAGGCTACAGAACACACGCGGTTGGCAAATGGCATCTGGGATATTTTAGAAAAGAATACACTCCAACGTATCGCGGATTCGATTCTCATTACGGCTATTGGAATGGTCTTCAAGATTATTACACTCATATTACACAAGAACAAGTAAATATAAGGAAACAAATTTTAACATTAAGGGTCAACAGCAATGACGGGCCGATTTCAAATTGATCTTGAGGCGAAGAAGCAATATTTTCTCATCATTCTTTTTTTTTAAAATACTCTTTGTACAATTATACAGAGACGTACAGAGCCCGATCTCAAAATTTCCAATTGTATTAATTGTAAATTCACGGTATCCTATACATTAACAAGACGAATGGTAAAAATAATGTTTTTCTCAGGATATCAGTGACTTTAGAGGTTTCGATATGAGACGAAATCTCACGGTTGCTTGGGAAACCCAAGGAAAATACTCGACTGATCTTTTCACGAACGAAGCGGTACGGCTAATTAAAGAACACGACACGAATCAACCGATGTTTCTGTACCTGGCGCATTTAGCACCTCATAAAGGAAACCCAAACCAGCTTCTAAGAGCATCCGACAAAGATATTGCCAAGTTTTCGTACATTCTCGACCCTGAAAGGCGAATACAAGCTGGTAAACGCCTTTCTGCTTTTAAAAAATAAAACATTTTAATTTATATTCCATAAAAAGTGTACTATTCGTCCGCGAAAAGATGGCCTGGCTAAAACTCGTAGGGATCTACGCCCCACTACCCGATATCCCTACTTCGCGTCGCATGTATTTTCGTAATTGGTCGAATCGCTTGACGAAGAAAACGAATGGATCGATCAAGTATGACTGGAACAGAGCGATGGGGTGACGATGGGTTCAAAGCAGTGGCATAGCTTTTAGAACCTATGAGTGGGGATTAAGCTAGACATTAAGAATGGGATCAGGCGGAGCAAACGAAAATCCTCCATTGTCTCTCCCCTATATCGGATGCCATCTTCTCGCGGACGAACATAATTCTCGATAAAATATTTTAAAGGCTATTTAAAATTTGGATGTACTTTCTCGCAGCTGTCATTTCGAAATTGGACCAAAGTGTTGGCGAAGTAATAGACGCCCTGAGAAATCGCGGCATGTTAAAGAACAGCATAGTGCTGTTCATGAGCGACAATGGGGCGCCAACCGAAGGTGTCCTGAGTAATCAAGGCAGCAATTATCCCCTACGAGGCGTAAATTCTTCGTCATATTCGTTACAAGAATCTTGTACGTGCATAGATCTTTGAGTAGTTTGAATATTTTACAGATAAAAGATAGCCCATGGGAAGGGGGAACGAGAGGAGTGGCAGCGATTTGGAGTCCTTTGATCAAAGAGCCAAGAAGAGTTTCGAATCAAATGATGTTTATGGCCGACTGGTTTCCTACACTTCTGTCTGCAGCAGGTTGATTCATCTCTAAGGATATCATCATTTTATCTATCAATACAATGTTTTAAATTTCTTCCTGATCGCTTCTGATTGTTTTCTTCACGCGTTACACTTTATACGTCCCTATACAAGCCTAATTTGATCGCGATACAATTTTTAAGGAGCGGAGAGGAAACATCTTGGAAACATCGATGGATTCGACCTCTGGCCAGCTTTAATCTCAGACAAAATCAGTCCCAGATCCGACATAGTCCTGAATATCGACGATATAAGTAATTACTCTGCTATCAGACGGGGCGATTTTAAGTACGTTATCGGTCAGACGGAAACTGGCCGCGCCTGGCTTGGAGCAACCGGAAACTCTTCCGAAGGTGTCTCCCCCAAATACGATCCTTTCAAAGTGCTGTACAGCAAAGTTGGTATCGCTATTTCTGGCGTGATTACCGTCAAGCAAGCGATGGAATTGGACGAGAGAAGGAAGAACGTAAAAAACGGCACAAATATTCCTCTGAAAACGGATTTCCAGGCTAAGATACTCACCGCTGACAAACTCCTCGAATTACGGAATAACGCGCGGATACGATGTAACGTCAAGGAAGAAAACAAGGTTGGTCATTGAAAGTGAAACTGGATTTCTACTCGGGTTCCGAAATTACGGGTACCCGAGTCCAATTTGAGTTCTGAGTTGATACACGGGTACGAGAGTCGAATTCGGGTCCCAAAATTATGGATACCTCAGTCGAATTCGGATTCCGAGTTGATATTCGGGTCCCGAGTCTAGTTCGAGTTCCGAATTGACATTTGGGTCCCCGAATAAATTTTCATGTGCTTGACAAACTTTCGACTCGAGGCTCGGATACGAAGTTACACCCCTAATCCACAATAATAAAGGATTAAATAATACCTAAACTAAATTATTTTTATTCTATCTAATTTTTAGATTCCTTGCGATCCAACCGAAGCACCCTGTCTCTTTAACATAGAAAAGGATCCATGCGAGATGGTGAACCTCGCTGAAAGAAGACCACTGATTTTGGCTATTCTCGAAAGAGTCCTGACGAATTACAGACTTACGATGGTACCTCCAAGTAACGTTCCGAATGATCCGAAAGCAAATCCATTGCTTTGGAACAATACCTGGACCAGTTGGGACGATCCAAATCCACTAGCATTAGCTTTCAAGATTAATGAATATCATACGCGTTCCGGACCCGCGATCGCGGTAATGTCCATCATTTGCGGCCTTTTCATCGTCGGTGTTATAACACTGTTCGCCCTTAAATGTGACAAGTCTAACTCAAATGATACGGAGGACCACGATTACGGAAACGGCCAAGAGACGGCTGTACGCACCGCGAACTACGATAGCGACTCGTTAACGATGTCTAAAATTATAGAAGATGCAAAACGGGATAGCGAAGACAGAAATTGACAGATTCAATCGAGATGCACGAGAGTTGGGTCACTTTTGATCATTCCGAAGATTTTCAAACTCTTCTGTGTTTGTCTCGGAATTTGATCAAATGAAATGCTTGATAATTAGACGAGTTGATTAGATACCTAATTAAATATTAAACTTTTCATTGCTGCTATTGACGTTTGTGGACATTCGAAAAAGTCCGGTACACTATAGGCACCTTTAGAAGTTTAGTTAATTTTATTAATTATACAATCTCGTCATTTTCGGTTAAATACATTATCTGCCTAGAAAAATCTTCAATTAAGCTATTGTCAATATTATAGTTTTATTTACTGTAACGAAGGAAAGATTAATTTAATTGATAATTGTTATCCCTTAATTTTCACCTCGTGCAATCTCGTTTCATTTTCCTATCAAAAATATCATCCACAGGGTATCTAAGTGTATTATATCGTTGACAGGATGACTTCGATAGGATTAAATTAGTTGTAAACTATGAGGTACCGCTTGCTCGGCAAGTTCGTTGTACTTACGTTCTTCATTCAACAAATTATTACACTTGTAAATAGTTCACAAAAAGTACAATTACATTTAATCTTCATTCATTGTTCAAAGAAACGGTGTCCACAATGTAAATGCTTTGTTGAATAAATACTTTGTTTTACAATTCATTCATTTATTTACCGATGCATTGATCTTTCTGTACAAAATTTCATGGAAATAGGAAGTTCGAACCATCGCGGTTAAAAAGCAACTAACATTACACTTGTTAGATTTATTTATCCTTCATCGTCCGATCAGCTAACATTTCAATCGAATTTTTATATCCCTCTGACCTCGGACGACGGACCAGGGAGAAAGCCCAATTTTTAATTTAATTTTTTATTTCCTATTATAATTATTGTTTCTCCGAAAATTATTCTTCCCATATACGAAATTATTTCATTTAAAAATTATACATTTAACATTAGGCTAATATCTTTGTATATGTTTTGTAAGTTTAGGGCACGATTGACCCGGACTATCAAACGGATGGCAAATTGTTAATTCCTAATCCGAACAAACTATGAAAAGTAATCTTTTTTCGAATCCTTCGATTCGGAGTCTGATGATAATAATGAAGGAAAGCAAATGAAGATGATCTTGAAATCTTTAAAACCGATGAGTGCATCACGCGATGCTCCGTTCGATACCATTTAATTTTCCTTAATAACATCCTTTTCTATCGTATATCATTTTAGAGCAATACTTGGGCCCAATTGAACGAAACACCCTGTAGATGGATCAGGACCAGGTTCGGAATAGAGAAGAAACAATGATCGATGACCACACGGTTGATCCAAGCAAGATAATCAATAAAGGGATGAAAAAAAGAAAAGAATGAACGATTTTCCAACGAGAAATAAACGGTGCCGGCAGTTCCTTCTATTATTTACGAATTCTAATAATATGGGAACGGTACTCGGGAAAAACATCTTACAAACTATCAACAATTTCGCAGCTAAGAAAATAACTGAAATATACACTTGTTCAAAAACAATATTTCGTTTACAATTCACCTAAGCACGATGGCTATACAACGATTATAATACAGTTTAAAAGTCATTTCCTTCAACGCTCTTCTGTCCCGAAGAGGAGCGACTTTCTTTTTTAGAAGCCTCAAGAAATCACGAACAACTGTCGCGTTAAAAATACAAACATTTTTAGACCTTTACGTTAAGTGAAACACTTAACATTTTTACAGTTACACTGTCCGATAGCCGATTGATGTTCCGACATCCACCGTGCATTTCTTATCGAGTTTCATGCATCGATTACGAATCTATAAATCATCTGTTTTCGAAGAAATTATTTTTGAGAAAAGAAATCGTATTTTTTAGATCCTCGCGCGATTAAACAAATTCAGTGACGGAACTATAAAAAGTCTGTAATATAAATTTATTTTCTTTAAGCAACTGTATCGTGTTAATATTTATTTTATTATATTTCGGAAAAATAGTAAGCTGGCAAAATGATAATCAACGAATAAAACTCTATAGGAAAGGTACAATAAATATCGGGACACATAGAAAAAGTTGAAACGTTTAGGACAGTGTTATCGCGGTCTCGCAATTTCAAGGAACCAGTCGAAACGTTATTGAAAAAGCAATTGCGTTTTATCGCCTTCGATTTAATCTAAATAACAGGAATAGTTTTGGCAGTTGGCACTTGGCAGGAATGTATCCAGAAGGCAAGGATGGCGTCCATTTTCTTGTTTATGGTACCCCATCACATATGTACCACCTTTGGCGTACTATAACAAAATGTTTGTAAGATTAAGATGTGAGCTATATACAGGGCGTCCCAGTATTGACGATACAATAGTGGAAGAGATGATTCTACGTGAGAAGATAAATCGAAAATATGGAATAAATTTTTTTCATTTGAGGCTTTGTTCTTGAAAAAATCAACTTTGAATCTTACCGAGTATGAAAGCACTCGATTATGTCGTGATTGAACGAATTTTTCGATACAATCTATGTGTTGTATTTTAATATTAATATTCCTAAAATTGAGATTATAATTACTTAAATTAATCATTTAATAATTATTTAAAAGTGGATGAATAACTGAAAAAAAAAGTTAATATAATTTTTCCTATTGCCATTAGGTATCTAAATTTGAAATCCCTAACATTTTTATGTATAAGGATATTTAAACATTATCTTAATATTATCAATCATAATCATTATTTTCTCTATGTAAGTCTACCGTGCTCGATACTGCACTATCAATACAAATGAAGCATTTACCTTTTTCCCCACAGCCAATTCAGTAGAACGCTCGACTGGCTCTGAACATCTCTAGCTGTAAATAATCAATAAAATACATATACATTTTATTATCTTTTTATGATAAATATGTTGAATATCTTGAAGGTCACGAAAGTCTGTGGAAAATGTATAAATATATAGATACACAGAAATATGCAAATATAATAACTATTGTAACAGTGCAGCATGAAAATTTACAAGTATCTCTTATTGATTATCGCAGAACTAAATACATATCGCACGCAGTGTAATGAAAAGTAAGGACAATTTGAAGTCAAAAAAAGAAATAGAAAAAAACCAACAAATTTCACTACGTGAAAATGGGGAAATCCTAAGAAAATGTACTATAGTAAAATGATTTAATGATACATACAGAGTGTATAATTTGCATTGACGAGCCTGGCAGCTGCTTCGGGTGGTAATGTACTTAAAACGTCTTTGTGCGCTAGCAAAGACATTTGTTGCGTGTGCCTCAGTTCTCGTTCATCCCTCAATCGCACGTCTTTTGTATGGCTCACCGTGTGCAACTGCGACAGCCTAAAGGGAAAACTAGCTTTTACATTTTACAGTGAAATAAGGAGCTTGGGTGGTACTAATCGAAGGGCATGATTTAACACCTTCTTAGCTAGAAGAAATAGAGTAATTTGCATACAAGACTAACTAAAAGTATAACTCTCCTAACCCTTATTCTGTACGAAAAAAAAAATAAAAATCCTTTTCTAGCATCTTGGAGGAAACTGTGAATGACAAAATTTTTACGGTTTAGACATAAGAACTCTCCAACTCTCCAGATAGCTGTAAATAATTGAGCCACTCAGGAGCCACTTTTTGTAAATTTCATTTAATATTGTAACATCATCTCTTTCCTTTACTCTTTTATTTTATGGACCTCATCAATTTGGCTTTTGAAAGGCTCAATTATCCTAACAGCCAAGAGAAGCATCTTACGACGTCGCCGAGACGTCGGGTTCGACGACTTTGACATCTTATGAAGTCACCCGGATCGAACGTGTTAAGTGGATTCGTTAAAAACTATTGTTTTCACTGTGAACATGTTTACGAAGTAAGGGTTAGGTTGTTTCCTGCTATTCTTCTCCCAAATAAAAATTACATTTCTACGAGTACTAATACTATTTGTAAATGTTTTTTTTTAACCTGTGAACAGCGGAGGCTGGGTCAATCATGACCCAAACTTACAAAATATATACAAGGATATTAACTTAAAATTAAACGCGTAATTTTTAAATGAAAACAAATTTTATATACAGGAAACATAATTTTAAAAGAACAGTGTAAAATTAAAAAAAATAAAAATAATATGAAATACGAAATTTAAACTGTATTTACTTCTCTAGCATTTCACATCCCTTTGAAATGAATTATTTCGAGAGTTGCAAAGCTAACGTGTAAATTGAGAAGAACAGCAGAGTTAAATTTAAAAGGAAAAGTCTTGTTCATCAAACCTTTGCATTTTTTTTTAACATTCTGTAGGGGGCTGGAAAAATGTCAAGAGTTTGCTTCTGGTAAAGAAACCGTGATATTTAAGCGAATACATCTACGTCTTGACTGGATTAATTCATTTAGGGACACGAGCAAATGGTACAGGTAAAATGTGGGTCAACTTGAAAAGCTCCTATTCGGTTCTTCTAGGTCATAAGCTAAATTAATGGTTTAAAAAATACGTAATCGTTTCATTAATATAACCTTGGAAGCTCTTGAGAATTAGAAAATTCTATTTCACACAAAACTATTAAAAACAAAATCGTTTTAAATTCGTCTAAAAATCTTTGAATTACGAAATTCTTAACTTCGAGTCGTTTTATGTAAAGGTGGCTACGTACTTGGATATCTAGCTGTCCTTGTCCTATGCAGGGAAAGACAAGGATCGCCCGATATTTCTCAGTTTCCACGCGAGAGGTCCCTAAAATCAAGTTGGACTTGGGGACCTCACGCGTGGAAACTAAGAAACATCGAGCGATTCACGTCGTAATTCAAAGATTTTGATGCAACGAAACAATATCTCCTCATGATTATTTTTGAAAAATATTCTTTCTACAATTAGCCAGGGGCGTACAGAGGCCGATTTTGCAATTTGACTTCTAATACCTTATAAAAAAATACATTATCGTGGAAGAAATTTTTACAAATTTTCTCAAAAAGCGCTCTAATATTGCATTCAATTGTAAAATTGAATTACTTTTCCGTGTTTCTCTGCTATTCCGCTAAGAGCACAACTACCACTCTTATAGATCCTAAACATTTTTCTTGCAATGATCTACTCTAAATTTGAGAAATTCGATGAATTAATTATTAATAATAATACGCACTTCAGAGCAAGAGCCTCTTTATCTTCCCCAATGGGAGCGTCGATAGCTTCTTTGGCTATCTCGACCGGTCCTTCGGACTTGGAAGGCGAAGGATGTTCCACCATCGGTTCTTCGCTAACGGAAGTGGACGCTTCGTCCCTAGGAGCAACGTCGGACCCACCGCCCATTCTTCTCAGCTCCTCGTTCACTCTGATCGCGTTAGACAAACGGAGCTGTAAGGTGTCCCGTTCTTCGAGCAACTGCATCAATTCGTGGGTCAATTCCTCGCACCTAACGTCTCGTTGATGAAGCATGTACAAAGCGAGATCCAATTCCTGCGAGGCGAACGCTTTGTTCTCTTCGTCGGAAGTTTCGCCTTGTTGACTGGTCGAAGCACCGACCACGGACACGTCCTTCTTCAAAACGTTTTGAATTAACTCGAATTCTTTCACCTTATCTTCTAACAGTTTCTTCAACGAGTTTATCTCCGTTTCCCTGGCCTCCAAAACGTTCCTCAACTCTTTCAGTTGCTTCTCCTCCTCGTCGGA